TGCTTAGCTTGTTCTAAGTAGGTGCTTTAGACCACTGAGCCATCTCACCAGCCCAATAGTGAGATTTTTGTTAAAAAAAAAAAAAAAAGTTGTAGCTTATAGGAAGAGAGGCCACACTTCTATCCCTGTTATTTTTAGTCTTTCGAGACAGACCTTGTTAAACTGCCCAGGCTGGTCTCAAACTCTTAATCCTCCTGTCTCAGCCTCAGAGTAGCTGGGATTACAGGCATGTACCACCATGCCCCAAAGTGTGAGACTTAAGGGCCAAAATACTGGAGAGAGGGAAACCACAGAAAGAGCCAAAAGCTGCAAACAAATGTCTCTTGTCACTAGCTAACTTCTAAACTGCATCCAATGGGCCAGACTCCAAATGCAGAAACAGTGCTGAGAGTGCAGAAGGGCTGGGGAAGCGGAGTGTGGGGTGAAACCCTGCTGGGTGCAGGTGCCAGGGCCCACACTCCAGGCTTTTAGCTGAGGCCCCACAGGGCCACACCCTTGAGGAAGGGCAGCACCTAGGAATGAGGACCTTGCCCCGGAAGAAAGGAGGGAACAAGGACAGAGCAAACCTTGTAGAGCCTAAATCCTGCCCCATGGGGACCAAAGACAGCTCCAGGATCCTGTCTGCCTAAAGACCAACAAAAGCTGAGCCTTTTTTCTTTCTTTGGGTATTGGCTGTTGAATCCAAGGCCTTTGCACTGAGCTAAATTTCTAGTCCAGCCACCACACTTTTAAAATTTGAAAGCCAGGTGTGGTGGTAAAATGCCTGTAATCTCAGTACTTGGGAAGCTGAGGCAGGACTGTTGTAAATTCAAGGCCAGCCTGGGGCTATATAGTGAACTCAGGACCAGCCTAAATTTTATAGCAAGGGCTTGCCTTAAAAAACCAAAAGTATGGGGCTGGAGAGATGGCTCAGTGGTCTAAAGCACCTACTTGGAACAAGCTTAGCAAAGGCTCGGGGACCGCGGTTCAATCCCCCAGCACCACATGCCAGCCAGCCCCGCCCCCTGGTGGGCTGAGCTGGCCACACACACACACCACTCTCTCTCTCTCTCTCTCTCTCTCTCACACTCTAATAAATAAATAAATAAAAAGACAAAAGATGTTTTTAAAAAAAAAAAAAAAAAACCAAAAGTATGGGGCTGGAGAGATGGCTCAGTGGTCTAAAGCACCTACTTGGAACAAGCTTAGCAAAGGCATCAGGGACCGCGGTTCGATCCCCCAGCACCACATGCCAGCCAGCCCTGCCCCCTGGTGGGCTGAGCTGGCCACACACACACACACACACACACACACACACACAAATTAAAAAAAATTAAAAAAAACAAAAAGTATACACATAATGAATTTTGAGACAGGGTCTCTCTATGGAGACCCTGGCCGAATTGGCCAGGCTAGGATTGAATTTGCAACCCTCCTGCCTCACCTCCTGCAGCCCTTGGATTAGTCATGTACTTCGATGCTCTACTAGTCTTCCCAGACTTGACTTCACAGCTAAATAATCTGAAAATTTTCAAAAATGTCTGATAAGGGCCTAGTGTGGTGCTGCACACTTGTAATCCCAGCTGGGATTACAGCTCAGGATGAACCCGTTTTTCATGAACTACTTATGAAAGAGCTATGCAAACTGTAAGACAAAATAGTACAGATGGCTACTGATAGCAAAGTTACTTTTGTTTTTGGAATTTTACTTATAGGGCTGGGGATTTATCTCAGAGGCATAGCAGCTGCCTGGCAAGCACAAGGTCCTGAGCTCAATTTCTAGCACCCACCTCTGCAAAAAAGAATTTCATTTCTCCGTTCACTGACACAAAGAAAAACAGCACTGTGGGAAACAAGGGTGCTGGCTTTCTTAGCAAGAGGGGTGATTTTTTTTTTTTTTTTTTTTTTTGAAGAACCAGGGATGGAACTCAGGCCCTTGCACTTGCCAGGGAAGCGCTTATTCCACTGAGCCATCTTCCTGGCCCCCTAGAGGGGTGATTTTGACCCCAGGACCTGTCACCTTTCCCCTTTCCTTTCCTGTGGAGGACAACAGCAAGCTTTACCTATAAGCCATCTTCTAGCAAACAGCTATTTTACCTGGAAGACCTTTTTGGCCTTTCCAACCCAATCCCAAAACATTTTTTTTTTTTTTTTTTTTTTTTTTTTTGTGTGTGTGTGTGTTCAGGGGTTCATTATTTTTTTGGAGGAACCGGGGATTGAACTCGGGCACTTTCACTTGCCAAGGAAGTGCTTATTCTACTAAGCCATCTCCCTGGCCCCTAATTATGATTTATAGTAAGATTTCTCAATTCAAATTGAACGAAGAAACTGAAGTAGCTTAGAAATGAAAGGGAAAGTTCTTCCCTCCTCTTTCTCCCCTATTTCAGTCTCCAGGTTTCCAAGAATCACAAAGAAGGGGCTGGAGAGGTAACTCAGTAGAATAAACACTTTCCTGGCAAGTGCAAGGGCCTCAGTTCAATCCCTGGTTCTGCGGGGGGTGGGGTGGGGGAGTAACACAAAGCCATAGGGGCCGGGGAGATGGCTCAGTAGGATAAGCGCTTGACTGGGAAACACAAGGATCTGAGTTCAATCCCCAGTTCC